ACGTCTTGCGTACCATCTGTGGTACGCGCTTGCCAATTCCCCAATAGGCTCTTGGAATCGACTTCACCCTACCTTTACCATGGCCGTACACTTCTTTAGGCACTCTACATCTACTAATGGAACCACGAATTCACCCGACACCGATACCGAGATTTGATCTATGAGTGGGGCAAATGAATGAGTTGCCAGTTATCGGATCCTTGCGTTTGCGCGCAGAGTTCTGAGATCGCCAAGGAGCAAACATTGTAACTCGCTATAAAGGAACGTATGGCGAGAGGTTGTTTTGACGTCCAAAAAAGCGATTTTTGCGAGAGATTATGGCTTTTTCGCCGCAGTTTTATCATACATGGATAAAGATATGTTAATACGAGGGTAGTGTAAGTTTTTGTTGGAATTACCACGAAATATGTTATAAAAAACACCGAAAAACTTCCCCCCTTGCGTAAGGGTTTCGATTGTGAAATCGTCATCGCGCAATGGTCTCGAAATATTGCAAAACTAGCAAGGAATCGCTAGGAAATAACTCATTTAAGTCTTTTCAGTTGTATTTAAATATGATCTGCCTGTTTTCATGCTTGTTAACGTATTTAATGAACAAATTACGATGTTTGAAAATATACCTCTATTAAGGAGAGAAGTCGTTGTCCACGGAGATGGAAAATATTTTTACCGAGCTGTTGCTCTCTGAAAGGATGAAATAAGCGATGAAAAACATGAGGAAATCCCCCGCTCAAAGGATAGTTTGTTTGAGAAAAATCCAAAGGTCTTTGAGCTGCAACTTTTCTTCTCGAACTCCTTGAAGGATCTTGTTAAGAAAAGCAAGATCACGGGAACTCCGGCAGAAACTGTGGACATATCACCGGTTGTGCATCACTCCTAAAGGAACCGATTTGTATCACTCATCGTCACAGAAGAAAGGGTTCAGCTTTGAGCCAGTTATCAATACTGATTCGTTCGCTTTCATCACAGCAAAGAAGCAGTGTACGTGATTCATCACTTTAATGTACCGCAATAATATTTAATTAATCGGTAGATTTTACTACATATTACATGGTTTTTCAAACAAAAACTTACGCCTTCCTTTATATCAGCATTACCCAAATCAATTTCTGATAAAAGAGCGGCGAAAAAGCGAAAATCTATAGCTAAAATCGTTTATCTGGACGTCGGAACAACCTTTCGCCGTACATTTCCTTCTAGTGAGTTGCAATGTTTGCCCTGTGGCGATCCCAGAAATCTGTGCGTAAACACAAGGATTCAATTACTGGCAACTCATTCATTGTAAAATCATCGATATCTTTCGGTGTCTCAAAGATGCCGGCTCGCGACAAAATAAGATCAACTTCGGTTTCTGGATCTCCGCAAGTAACTTGAAATGTCTTTTTTACAACTACGTAAGGGAACGATCTGAGAAATGCAACGTCGGTCTTCTCGATAACTATACCCAAAAGTCCCACCAGCGCACGATTTAAATCAACAGCAAATCTCTTTCTTAGCATGGAAGATGAGACGCTTATACAACAGATCAATTAGCTAAATCAGTATGTAGCTGGTCAATCGAATTGACTTTTGTAAACATTCTTTGACTCCCGCCGGCAAAGGAATCGTTGATGGATCCGGACATTTTAGTTTTCTGAATACAGTAATTTTTGGAGGGTTTTTTATAGATATGTAAAGGGGAAAAAAAACCCATCTCTTAGTAATTCTGAGGTTGATTCATATTTGAATTTATATGTG